GTCAGCAGCCACACAAGCAGGGCACTGAGCCCGGGAAAACCCACCAAGGCTACCTCCAACATGGGGAAGAAGGGGCTACCCCAGCACACACAGGCCAACATGCTTGATACGTCGTGGGGAGAAATGCTCTTCTTTTACACTAAATGCCAGTCTGGGGTTGATACAGTGGGTATGTACATTTGTGGATGGAAGCCACAGCCACAACAAGGGAGAGGAATTTGTACTAGGTCCTACAGCTTCTGTCAAAGCCTGTGTGGCAGAATCCCACGGGAGTGAAAAGAAGGCCGTTGTCCATGGTACTAAAGAGCGACAGAGCTGGAAGCCACGAATTGAGGTTCTATGGCCCCTTGACCAGGGAATCAACTCCAAAAGGACCTCAGCTCAATTGACAAAAGAAGCTGATGTTCAGGGCTGACCAAGGCTCAAAGGTGAAATACCCCTGTTATCCCACTGGCTTCTCCTAGAGAAATGCTCTTTCTCATGCCTAGCAGACGACTTTCGCAAGGTGTGGCTTCTGCTGGCCTTCTCTAGCCTTGCTATGCCATGTTCTATCTTCTCTCTGGGTTCCAGTCACAGTGGCCATCTTACAGCTCCTCCAATATGCCATGCTCCCTCCAGCCACAGGACCTTTGTACATGCTGGACCAATCTCTCCACACCTCTTTGCCATGTTAGCTTATACGCTTCCTCTTTCAGATCTCAACTCAATAACCAGTTCCTCACAAAGCCTTCTTTTATTCCCTAGTCTGTTTCAGGTTTAAAAAAAAATGCATCCACATAATCATATTCCCTTTCTTCACGTGACTTATTTCAGTTTGTAATTATATACTCATTAGTGTGATTATTTGATGCAAGCCATTCTGAAAGCAGACAACTTGTTGTTTTTCACTTTTGTATCCCTCAGCACCGGGCACTGCCTGGCACAAATTAGGTGTTTAGTATACAGCTCTTGAGGGCTGTATCTTTACTTTTATTTGATATGGGTCTATTTAATAGGTCCCACATTGGTGTAGGTAAAAGCCCAGGTCAACTTGTTCTTAGTCCTGAGAAGAGAGTTCAAAGGATCTTAGGTATAGTACAGTTTTCATAAGGAAGCAACATCTTTCTATAGCAACTTTCCTTTACTGAAAAGTCATGGCTGCCTCTTGCCCTAAAAGTCACCTAGAAATGAGTTATTATTGTCCTGATGTAGTTAACCCAGGAAGGCCAAAGTTTAACAACTTTAAACCAGAACCTGACACACAAGACAGGGTCAGGCTGGCTATGGATGGAGGGATAGAATTCAAGACCAGCTGCCACGAGGCTACAAATGACTCACTCTGAGATGGCGCTGACCACAAGGCCGCGGACCTCAGAGATCCTGCAAATATCTGGTAACTAGGGCATAAGGAGCGCCCAAGTCCAGAACCAGAGGGGGAGTCTAGAACCGAGAAGATGACCCAGATAACGAATTCAGTAGAACTGAATCCACTATTCTAACATTCCAGTTTTCTAGTTGCCCTGTCCTTCTAACAATGAAGATCACATTGGTTCCTGTTTATTGATCATTTACTTAGCAAGGTATTGCCCTAAGCATGTGTGTATGTGTGTGTAAACACCTTTAAAAAAATTCTCACAATCCTCTTTAATAATTTCATGTTCTCCAGATCATGAAATAAAGGTTTGGATAAGTTAAGGAACATGTTAAAGCTTACATAGCTGGGTGAGAACTTCGGACTTGTTAGGCTCAAAGCCTGTGTTCTCAACCACAATGCCAATGTCACACCAAATACTAGTCACTGGTAGTTATGACTGTTTTTTTTTAAAAAACTATAAGGCAAGACCACTTGTCTTAGTATTTACTTAATACTTTATATACGCCTACTTTGTAATTTAAATGAATTTTTTAGTACCCATGAAATCACAGGATTGATATGACAGCTGTGTTTTCTAATATTCACGATCATAAATATATAATTATGAAAACAAGAAATGTCCACGTAGTGCTTAGAAGCACCTTGCCTACCATCTCAGTTGTATTCATACCACATTTGGGAACCCCACGTTACTCAATTCTGAACCATGAGGCACTGTAGAAATGGCGTCAAACAACCTAGGATTGAATAAGTCCTGCCTGGTGGTTGGTGTTTTTCTGAGGCTGTTTTGAAAGATGGCCGCTTCCTACCCCAGAGGTGGCTGTGCTTCAGTGATGATAAGCAAAAGGGTCCCAGTTTGTATAGTCTGCTCAGTGCTTAGGGCGGTCTGGTTGAAAATAACTATATAGATATCAGTTATCATCATTCTCATGATGACAATGATTATTTTACATATGGCTGCTTTAAGGGTGAATGGCACAGTCTCATTTGTATGCCGGCATCTGGCAGGCTGTCACACATCTGCAGAATATAACCTAAATTGTGCTATTAATATTTCCCCTTTGCATTCTCCCCAAGGCATCTGTCTCCCAAAATGCCTCAAGAAACTTCCCTCCCTCTTGAAGGCCTAGAGGCAAAATTCAGAAAACATGTCACCTAGACTGGGGACAGCAGCAGCACGGAGTGACAGCAGCTGAGCCTGAGCAGATTTCTGGCTCTTAGAATAGACTAAAGGGAGAGAGGGAACCACCACCCACACTCATTCTATTAGTAGCTGCACTTTCAGGCCAAATCTGTAGGCAGATGCTCGCAGGCTGAGGCAGTGTGTCGCGTCTGCTCTGTGAGCAACGAAACATGCCAGTCATGGTCCTGATGGTCAGTTCTCAGCATCTCCATAATCGCCTCCACCGCTTAGAGCTGCCTTCCCTGCAAGGCCTTGGGCAACTACTGAGCACTCTTGTGTGGTGGAGACTAGCTAGCTATCCACCCAAACCAGGTTTTTAAAAATTATGCACACACAGCTATACTACATTCCCCAGCCTGCCTTGCAGGTAGAGGTGGCCATGTGACAGAGTTCTAGCCAATGGAATGCATGCTATTTTAGAGTCTGGCTCATAGGACTCTCCCATATGTGGTCTACCACGGTCTTTTCCTGTCCTGATGCAGATGAATATGGTGACATTTGAAAGGAAGCTGAATCTCTGAGTCACTGATTGGAGGAAGCTGTCTGTGGATGGAGATCATCAATATTGGACTTTACAAGAGAAATTAACTTTTATGTGTTTGAGCCATTAAGGGGTTTATTCTACATCAGAAAACTCAGAGATTTACTGTAACTAATATCCTCTTAAAGTAAAATTTCCAGGTTAGATTTTATGATTAACTACCTACTGGATTAGCTCCACTTTGATGACCTAGTACTTTAAACTTGACATATTCGACCCAGACAGTACTTTCTATGTCAGAATGTTCTGACTGGGTACTGGGATACAGGAAAAGATCATACAAAGTCCCTTCTCTCACGAAATTTACATCCAAATATGGGGAAACCCCAAACACACAAATTAAAAAAAAAACCCTTCAAACAGTGATAAATACTATGAAGATAACAGGGATAGAGGGTTATTGGGTTGTGCTTGGGAGTGAATGGGAGGAAGTGCCTCTGAGGAGGTGACATGATATCAAAGTCTAGGTGACGACATGGGGTTAGTTATGCGAACTCTGGGGGTAGAATATTCCTGAAAGAGAGTCCAGCAAATGCAAAGACTAGAAGTAACAAGGTTTATACAGGAACAGAAAAGAGGTTAATTGGCCGAAGCAGAGGGAATTAGGGATGAGTGATACGACAGGATACCACAGAGGGAGGCAGGGTCCAGGGTGTGTGAAATTTTATAGTTCAAGGTAAAGAACTTGGATATTATTCTATGTTCAATGGGAAAGCTACTAGAGTGTTTTAAGCAGGGGAGGGATGATATCTGAATTACATGTCGAAAGGTCCACTCTAACTGTTATGGGAACAGCTACTGGGTAAGAGAGCAGGAAAGAATGGAGAATGAGAGGAGATTACTGCAGTCACACAGGTGCAAGAACAGTGGCCTATATTAGCATGGGCTGGTAAGAGAAGAGATGGAGAGAAATGAGTTGATTTGAGATATATTTTAGAGGATGCAAAGGCAGGGCTCATGGGTGGGTTAGGTTGGGGGTGGGGAGGTTGGTGGGTGGGAGAAAAGAATATTGACATCTACGTCAGTTGGTCATCTGTTTGGGTGGTGAGACCATTAACTGAGAGTGGGGTTTCAAGTGAAGAGTCAGGTTTGTGGTGAGATGGAGCCCATGAAAGATACTAAATAAATAAATAAATAAATAAATAAATAAATAAATAAATAAATAAATATGACATAGAGGGTCAATATAGTACAGTGAAAATACTGGCTCACTCAGCAATTCCTTGACTTCTCTAAATTTTAGCTGAGCAAGGGATAATGTTGACATTATGGGGTAGTTGTATCAAATGTACTCTTGTTGGAGACAGACTGAATAGGAGAAGGAGGGGGACGTGAGGATTGCGAATCAACTTTGGTTTCTTGATATGGATGCTGGTTGCACAGGTGTGCTCTGACTGTGAAAATGCATCAAGCTGTAACTTATGATAATGTACTTCTCAAAATGAAATTCTACGTGGAAAGTTCCCAGCGTAGTGCTTAGACCTCAATAAATGGCAGCCATTATTATCTTCACCATTACGATACGATAAAAAAACATGTCATGCATACCTGTGGTCATTTAAGAATCCTTTAACAAGAGGAAGGAACCCTTAACAGAACTCTAGGGTCTTATCTTATAGTCTTATCCTAAAGCCACATCTAGTTTCAATTCATGACACATAAACACCTCTGCATGAAGGAACTGATTCAGGGTTCCTATCCAGAGCTAGTCTTGGCACACTACTTGTAATTCAACATTTCCCTAACTTTGTTAGGATGAAAGAGTACCATAGATGACAATGTAATTCATCCGGGAACAGTTCTCCACAAGTACTAGGTGTTTAGTTATGGCTGCTCCTTTCATTCCACCTTCCCCCAAGCCTGCTCTTACCTGAACACACCTGATTCGAGCCAACTGGTTACTGGCCCCAAGGAAAGGATACTAAAACTTTGATTGGTTATTTCAAAGTTCCATAGATTAATCCTCAGGTCATCAGCTGACATGTAGGTTTCATAGTCGCTGTTGACTGATATGGAGTTGATGTGATACGTGTGTGCATTGGCAAATACTCTTCGTGGGGTGGCCTCCACCATCAGGTCCATAGGTCTCAAGACAGGCACCTGGGATAGAAAAGAAGCAAAACCTTTTAAAATCAAAGCTCTTCACTAGGAAAAGAGTGTTCATGTTTGTGTCCTTTATTTTCACGCATTAAAATCCTAACCATATCAAAGGAGCTCCCTTCCGTTCCTTTTAGTTTTATTCCTTTCTCAAAAAATGTCACCATCACTTAGCCGTGATTTATAGAGTCTAAGCTTTTTACCCAGGAACCTATGGGTGGCTCCATCTTAGGGGGACATAGTCTCTTAAACTTCCAGAGCTGTTGTTCCAGACTGTTTGTCTTTAAACATGAAAACTCTTTTAATGAGAAAGTGATGGAAACATTTTAGACATGTGTAGTTCAACTTAGATTTCAATTTATCCCTCATGGCTTTGGAGGTCTAGAACCCATCCTGGCCTTGCCTTCAATCCTTAATGATTTAGGAAAACCTATACTCACCCAAGATTCTAATAGCCAAATCCAGCCATTCATATACAGGGCACCCATCAACCTCCTGTTTTACCTGGGGAAATCTTGGTTTATATCTGTTGTCTTGGTGTACCAACCAGGTAGTGTCCATTTTCACATCAAAACTGTCTTAGTTTGGATAATAAATTACGTGGTCGTCTTACTGATATATAAAGGTATTCAGTAAGTGTTCAATGAATAAGAATATGTGAGTGAAATGTTTTGTTCCCCGCAGGTCAGAGAATCAGGCAGTGAAACAGTCTCCCCACCCTCTCTCTCTATGAAGCTCTTTCTGGCAAATGTGAACAAAGGCCCATCACTCTTCTGACTCCCTCTTCGAATTCAAGGGCACGTCTGACTACACCTGGGTGAGCCGGCTTCTGAGAAAGTGAGTGAGAACACTAATGCCTGAGAGGGGACAGACCCAAAACAAAACATCACCAACAGAAACAAGGACATAGAAGGACCAAATGCTGCCCCCCTTTCAAGGAAGTCCTCTCTTGCAACTGAGCCCTGAGTAGTTTGATACCAGGTGGTTAAGACTTCAACTTCTGGGTCTGTTTCCACTCAGAGGTGAGGGGCAGAAGGCAAAAACAAAGGTTAAATTTTGTTAAGTGTGGTTACCTCAACAATATAACCTTTCACAAAACAGAATTCCCCCAGCTCACTATTAAAGGAGTTTAACTCTGGGGTGGCCGGGTGGCTCAGTTGGTTAGAGCGCATGCTCTGAACAAGGTTGCTGGTTCGATTCCCACATGGGATGGTGGACTGTGCCCTCCGCAACTAGATTGAAACAACTGCTTGATTTGGAGCTGATGGGTCCTGAAAAAACACATTGTTCCCCAATGAAAATTTCTTTAAAAAAAAAGAAAAAAAGGAGTTTAACTCACTTTTGAGGGAGTTTTTAGGTTAAACAACAATTCAGAGGAACCACAGAGTGCTATACAAATCTGGTGCTGGATATCCTGGAAACCAGAGATGGCTTGACAGATGGATGGAGGAAGAGCCAGGGGTCCTCTGAATACCAGCAAAAGGGAGGGGAGGGAGAGGCTCTGTAAGCCCAAACCCCAGTCACGGATAATGGTTCTACAGCATAAGCCCAGGGATGGCAAGAACTTGGAGACCTGGGTTCTGATCACAGATTCATCACTTACTGACAGGCTGTGTGACCATGGTCAATTAACCTGCCTCTTCTGGGCTCTGGTTACACTATCTGAAGACAATGACAATACCCACTGCACCCTGATTATCATAAATTAGAACTCACTTCATGATATAATTCATAGCTCATTCATATGAATTATAACTGCCCTCCAGTACACCCTTCCACTCACCCTTTTAGCAACATTTACTGAACTCTGTACAAGGTCCTAGGCAGTTCAACTGGTGAGCAAAACCATTTAGCTGATCTACACGGAGGAGGCAGATATGAAATCACTTAAAATGCATTAAGTGCCCCCAAAGGAGAGGATAGAGGGCAAGGGGGATTTAACACAGGCAGGGTGGTCTGCAGAGGTTTTGCTGAGGAAGTATGAATTGGATGCCTGTGAAGGATGAGAAGGGGTTTACTAGGCGAAGAGGGGAGGGAAGAATGGTCCAGTCAGAGAGAAGAGCATGTGCAAGGGTCCTGTGGTGGTGGTGGTGGTGGTGGGGGTGAACAAGGCAAGAATAAAAGATCGTTGGGTCAGTGTAGTTGAGACAGAGAGAATGATGGGAACCATGGTGGAGATGAAGTGACAGGGTAGGTAAGAGGCAGGCCCCAAGAAAGACTTTTGCCATTACCCTAAGAGAAAGGGGAAGAAATAAAAAAAATTCTAATGATTGTGATATGATCAGTTTCAAAATTTTCATCAGATCATTCCTGATGTGCTACGGAGAACAAGTTGGAGGATGAATGAGGTAGAATTTTCAAGAGGAAGGTGATCCACTATCATACACTAATTAAAGTACAGCTTAAAGCTTTGTAATGGATTAAAACAAAAAGCAACTTTGCCCTTAGGAACTCTACCTGCAAACATTTATTGGGCTTATTATACTATGTTTCAATCATCCTTCAAACATCATTTCAGGTAACTGTTTCAACAACTCCGAGAAGTGCTAGCACCAAGTACTATTACAAAGAAAAAACTCAGGGTCAGAGAGGCTGAGTCACTGGCCCAGGGTTGCCCAGCTATGGGAGGCACAGCCGGAATTTGATCCCAGTCTCCCAGACAGCAAAGCTAGTGCTCTTTCCACTCTATCACACCGTCCTCAACGATTACCCATGGCAGAATGTGATAAATGCTCCGTAAGTGACATGAGTACATGGCTAGCAGAATGTTATGGAATCCATAGTATTATTGATAGTGATCACGGTGATGGTAGTCGCAGAGTTCTGTGGTTAAGCTGCTTCTAGAAACCTCGATTAGGTGTTGTAGGTGTTCATGGTATTTGCATAGGGCGTCTAGTCTGTGTGCTTCAGGAACACATGCCATGTTTTGATAGTTTGTCACACCAGAACCCCCACCTGGAACTTTCGAGTGCTACCTGGTTCCTCTGTCCTCCAGAGGTAGCAGAGCTCAAAGCAGGCTCCCCAGGGCCACAGAAGAAATGGAATCTGCGAGGACTTCCTGCCAATCCTCCTAAACTGTACTCTGTGCCTCCTTCATTACTGCACATTGTCTGTGGAGGCCGCCTGCGCCTGTGGTGATCGGGAAGGGAGCGTGACAGCCAGGATCAAGAGGCATTACAAAGCGGGAACTGCCGGCCCACAGCTTCCGCTTAATGTGATGGGCCTGCCTGCTAATTCAGGCTGACACGTTCCATGATGTACCACTTAACGGGGAGGGCTCCGTGGAGGTATCTGGGGAGAAAGCCTCGAATGCTTTGCTCAGATAAGGAGGCAGGGGGGTGACTGCCGCTCATGGCATTCCGACACCATTCTCGTGCCCGGGTCAAGGCTTGTCCCCTGTCCAGTGATGCCTCTCACAAGACAGAAGAGGAGCAGGAAGCTTGTGGTTCAAGCTGGACAGCATCGCTAATTAGGAAGCCCTGCTGGGACTGTTTCCCATGTGCTCTGGCCACACTCTCCTTTCAGGGCCAGGCAGGGAGAAGAGTGGGCCCCTGTTCCCCGAGTGAGGCTCACAGGCAGCCATTAGGGCTTTCTCTGTAGGACAGTCACGGAGGGCTCCTGTGCTATGTCCCAGTCACTGAGTGACAGCCCCTCCCGCCCAACTCCAAGGCGCTATTTCATTCAGCACCGTCAGCACCCCACCTCACAAGGTTTGCCCATCTTACAGGGGAGGTGCAGGGAGGTGAGCATCCAACATCACCCAGAGAGTAAACTGGGGGGGCTGTACCTGGGCAATTGGTTCCTGAGAGAGCAACCTTCACCACTGCCGCAAATGAAACTAGTAGGTTCAAATATGAAACTGCCATTTTGGCAAGTCAACAATGATCAAATCTCAGTAATTTCATGTGATTCAGCTTAATACTTTAGAAGGACTCTGTACTTTATGAATGTGACATTGAATCATGGAACATTAAATCTTGGAAGGGCCCTCAGAGTCTCTTCTAGGGCCGTCGTGTGTGTGTGTGTGTGTGTGTGTGTGTGTGTGTGTGTGTGTGTGTGTGTGTGTTTGTGGACGGGAGATGCAGCGGGAGCCTATGGCCTTACCCCTCATCATTCTTGCTAATATGTTTGGATTCTCAATCATGTTTTTCTTAAATAACTATTTCTGTGGATAAGGAATGTTTGAAAATAACCATCCCGGGCAGTTCCTGAAATCTACAGATGAGGAAATCTAAGGCCCTGAGAAGGGAAGTGCTTGTCTGCAGTCAGTCAGGTCAGGGCTGTCAGCACAGCCCCGGACTTCTGCCTCTCACCCCACAGCTTCCCCTCACCCCACACCATGTGCCCGAGCCATTCTCCCCAGGACCACATCCCCCCTCCTGCCGAAATATAGAACCAGACAAAACCCAGGGTCAAGCAGGACCTAAAACTTATAGTCCAAGCCCTCTTTTCTGAGCCCTCTTGGCAGTGATGAGACCAGAATCAACTCGGAGACAAGCTGAGTGCTGCGTTCTGCCTGTGAATGGGACCAGGGGCCAGTCCTTGGTCCTTGGAGGGGGCAGGTGGTTCTGGATTGCCCTGCAGGAATCCGGCTATGCTCCTCCCTCAGGCACCTCATACTCCTCCTTGACCTTGACCCAGTTTCAGCTCATCCCCCGGACCCTAGTTATAAAGGATCAGTACCCCAGCCTTGTTGACAAGACAACCAGCATCATGTCAGAGTATCAGCCGAATAATGTCCCAGGGCTCAGGAGAGCAGCCTCAGTCTCACCCGCCCTAAAGCTTACAGAGATTAGTGGGCTGCGAGAAGCCCAGAGCGGTACATGGCTCCCTCCCTCACACTGTTCAGGTCTCTGTTCAATTATCACCCCAAGAGAAGCCTTCCCTGCCCGCCCTACCTCAAACAGCACAACCCCCATTCACTATCCTCCCACCCAGCTGCTTGTTTAGACTGTTGCAAGCCATTCCTCAGTGAATTCTCATCCATGTCCTAGGATTTCGCT